CAATTCAATAAACAATCATAACTCTAATAAAATAAATATTCCGTCGATCGCCCACTGCAATTGACGAAACAACCACTCGATGTCCAAGTAATAATTAATCTTGTTTCAAACCTTTTTAGGTGTTTCAAATGGATCCTCATGGTGTTCCTCCGCATCACTTCGGCATCTCCTCGTTTCTGATCCCACTACCATCAAATGATCAATCACACGACGACTTGGTGTTTCCAAATTCCAATTCGCACTACCATCCAATCCACTCTTCGATCCTAATGCATCTGCTCGAAACGTCTCCTTCGATGGATTTCCCTCAACAACATCCAGAGCAGAGCCACTCGCATCCTTCCCAGTGTCATACGACGGTCCTTGATTACTATTACTATCTTCAGCATCTAACAGTTCTCTCAATGGGGTGATCAACAGCGATTCTTGTTCATAACACGATGACGATTGTGAGCTTTGCGATGCTTTTGGAGAGTCCGCTTCGACCACTTCTGAGCATGAAGCTTCTTGCGTTTTATCGACTGTACTTTCAGCAACCCTGTCCATCCCATATTTGTCATCTTCCATTCGATTATCCTTTGTTTCCATCTCAACGCAATTAAATTCAATTCATTTTTATCAACCGAAACTTACAANACCACTTCTGAGCATGAAGCTTCTTGCGTTTTATCGACAGTGCTTTCCGCAACCATATCCATCCCATATTTGTCATCTTCCATTCGATTATCCTTTGTTTCCATCTCAACGCAATTAAATTCAATTCATTTTTATCAACCGAAACTTACAAATTTTTGCATTTTCTACCTATGAATAACATATGAATGTAATTGTACGTACATAACAACCTTCTGTGAACACTAAGTAATCTTATTAAAGCCAGCGTAATGTTTTGAATAACTCAATTAAGAATGCAATACATCATGTTTTACAAAGAGCTAAGATAATCCACGAAAAACGTTAGAACATCTCCATATGAAAGTTGTGAAGTCATCGAATTTTCATGTCAAACAAATACTAACGAACATTTTGTGATTTTGATTGTCGTTTGCTGCGTTTTGCTGATACAATCTTGCGTTTGCTCGATCTCCGCTGTCGTTGAGAGGTTGCATTTGAACGATTCGATACGGAACTTTTAGCGTTTGAAGAAGACGATTCAGCATGATCCATGACGGAGGTAGTTTTCGCAAGTATCTCGCCTTCTTCCACATGATTCACTCCACTCGTATCATTTGCTGACGACGATGAATAATTATCACATCTTTTGTCCACTGATTTCAGATGCATTTCTTGGTTTGCGTCTGCAATGAACCCAGTGATTAATATCTCGGCAATCAAAATTGGATAACTACATAATAGATTTCGAGAAAGTCCAACAGATTGAACCAGCAGCAATGAGAAAATTGATTTCGTTCTATGAGTTCACGTTAAAATTGATGAAATCTACGAACAAATCAAATTTTTCACCGGAAAATTTAAGTGACAGTGAAAATCCATTCGTTTTGGATAGTTTGAAAAGCTACTTGGTCACGATTACAATCAGTAACTGAGATGTTTTTAACACTAAGAAGGCGTATTACACTAGTGAACTGAAGTCGAAATTTGTCGAGAGACGATTTCGCTTGAAAAAACTGAACCGAAATCAGTATTTTGCTGTGAAAAATCAGTAAACACTGCAGAATTTAATCGAAATATAAATTCTGAACGATAAAAATAATTCAAAAACATACAAGTGCACTCGCGATTGCTTTCATCGTTGTTGTTGCATTCCACCGTAATATTCATTTGCAAACTATTTCACTGAAATAAGTTCGAGTGAAATCTTTGAAGAAAACAGAAACTGATCGTAATGTTCGAGCAAACAACGTTCGATAATCTCGCATTTCGGGCATTACGAACACGAGAAAAAGATAATTTTGTACTCTAAGCTGGTAAAATCAAAACGGCATTAAATACATTCGCAGTTGAATATGTTACTCAGTTAGAGTATAGCAAGAGATGTTCGCACGAACGAAATGCCGCTGCGATTTTCTCAACCTGAAATGTAACGCTACCGAGAAAAACAACACCAACTATCTTCAAACAACTAATCATAAGTACAACAAATAAATAAGTAACAAAGAGCAGAGTCAGGCTGTTTAACAAGTAGGCAAGAAACAGAGACACAATCAAACGTGCTAAATCGTTCCGCGGAGCCAGAATTTCAGTCCGAAGATTTCGATGTGATTACTTCGGAAATACGTTTGACCAAATTTCCACGAGAACTTTGGAATAATAACACTAATGAATTGAAAATTAAATCTCCGATGAAAATAATATTCAAAATTATCACGAAACCACCATCAACGTGGTCCGAATTAGCTGTTGAAGCATTTCCGGCTGCCTCCCAGAGCTTTCCGGTAGCATGTAGTAAACGACGCCGGATTCCTGACTGCGGATCTACCCATCCGGAAAATCTGTATCCGTATTTTATTTCCGTATGCATACCGCTAGAGAAGGAAAATTAGAGAGGAAATTAAATGGACAGTTCGCCACGTACGAATGAAGTGACAATTCGCCAAGTGACGGGAGTGGGATTTTCATTTGATATATGTTCAGAAATGTGAATTTATTACCTATTCAACGGGAATAAATCCGGGCAAATCATATATCATTTTGTAGTGCAGATCCAGGAAAACAAAACATAGCTGATAGATTTGTCAGTGATCGACATATGCTCGAGATTTTCGATTTCGCCTTAAGGGCAAAAATGCAACAGATACTTTCAATTGGTACCCACCCGANAGGAAAAATTTTCAATCATGATATATACCATGTTGTAGCCGAGATTGAGTACAACAGAAATCCGTTTTAGATTTTGTCGCCAATTGTTAAGTTAAGAGAGTTATGACGCTCGGCGTGAGCAATGGTGATGCTCAGTGATCACGATTGGCATTTATATAGAAGAAATTCAAATTCTCACCATAAGGGTTGAATCGCCTGTGCAAAGCTAATTATAGCTTGCGATTCATAGCTTTGTACTGCACACAAATGCAAAGAGAAATTCCATCCATTGCCTTATATGCTTCAGTTCCTTTATCTGGTCTAATTTTTCCATTAAAAAAAATCCGCTCTTTGACATAACGAATGAAATATGAAAATATAACAATTCTCAAGTAGTTAACGGAATCTGTTGATGATTTTTCTATGGTTAAGTTCCATTTCTCACTTTTGGAATAACTGAACTCGAGGAATTTATTACTGTTGAAAAACAAATCGAACGAAATTGAAGAGACCGTCAAAATGGTGTGTGAAACGTCTAAACATTTTGAGTGATAAGCTAAAAAGGTTAAATCCTCATAGAGCTGAGAACTCCAATTTTGTCTCTGGATTTTGGCTCATAAAATTTCCGATTGTTTAGATTTCCGAGCAATATTTCAGCTATTCAACGAAAAATACAAATAATAAACGGAATTAAACTTGTGTGAAAATTGAACGAAGTATGAATTGAATAAGAATCTCTCACACGATGAGGCTTTTCATAAGATTTTCGTATACGCAAATTATCAATTGATACATCCACAGATCTTTTATCTTAACGTTTCGATTCAAACGTCAACGTGATCAGCCGTTTTCGTAGCAATGCCAACAATATGCGAATTCTATTGTTTCCGTTGAATATTTCCATCCTTGCAGATACTCATTCATTTTAGCTACATTTGGTAAAAGCGATGCAAATGTGTTCATGATTATATCACAAAGCGATTTTATTTTCTCTATTTACAATTGCGTTTTCTTGATAATTTATTCATCAGTTTATTCATTGTAAGAAATTAACAACGATAACAGATGCAATATGAAATCAATCATTTATACGAACGAATCAGTGAGAGTGCAAATGACGAACAATTAGGTAATACAATTGATAAAGGTCTGAGGTGGTTGTTTAGCTGCAGTGTGGCCAGTAGATTCACAATTCTGCTCGTGTCTTCTGCTTCATCTGATCGCTGCCGAGCACCAGATGCAAACGGGAATTCTTACAAACATACACAAACTTGTTAAGATATACAGCATTGGTGACAGTTCGGTGATGGCTAACAATGTGCGTGCGACTTGGTCAGCAGCAAAACAAAACGCATCTTTCCCTCAGTCTTTCGTTACTGCATAAAAGATCGCTAAATATGGCCAAAATCAGTCAAATCACAACGCAAATCACTCTGAAACCCTCCCGAAAGACTTCCAATCGAAATTTTACATTTTCAGGTCACACGACCGATTGGCCTTCATTCCGCCTGAACAATTACAAATGGAGATAGAATCGTCCAGATTACATATCAAAAACTTCTAATCGAGAGAAAAATACCACGAATTCCTCCATTCGAAAGGCAATTTTGGACGAGGAAACGGAGGTTTACTTCCCAAAGCCAGTAAAACTTCTGGCTCTCTCTCTATTGAAACAAGAGGGAAAGATAGAGGTGATTCTGGTTACAGATTCGCGAGTTAATGACACCATCAACAACAAAACTAGTATCAGATACTGTTGGAATGATCGTCAGATATCGATCAGTCCAATGGGTTCATGATGGATCTCGTATTCGACTCGTGACATTGTGCGATGGTTTTCATCCATATCCATCTCATCGGCGAATTTCAGTGCTTCGATGGTTTGCGGCATAAACGCGATCGTATCTCGCCGCTCGTGTTTTGTGCACATGGTTGCACTTTGTATACCGTCGTTCATTTCATGCATATACTGTAAGTTTACTGTGTTGCATGCAATCTGTTGTTTGAATAGACGATTCATGCAGATGAGTATTTTTTTATTCGTATGTTTCCAATTTCCTCAACTGGTCCTCATTTCCTCAACTGATGGTATCTTTCTCCATTCGTTGGTTAGTTATTTGTCAATGTTAGAATAATTCTCAATGTCATGGATGATAACAATGAAAATGTTTTTTGAAAAGTGAATGGGAAATAATGGTTAGGTTAGCAATGAATGTTATGATAGTTGGTCAGTTTAGTGTTGTTTGATAATTCAATTGCAAGCACATTCGAGTTGTCAGGTAATGAGGTTAAGAGGGTTAATAAATTCATTTTTTTCCAATGAAGGGTTAAAAAATGTTTTGTTGATCGCATTTCAATTCAAATTGGTAGATCATTAACTGCCAAGCAATTAGTATTATTAATCATGTGTCAAGTTCAGAAATTTGAATGATTTCAAAAAATAATGGCAAAAATTCGTTCACTTCTAAAATATCGGCCGATGAGATTTTGCCTATATTCGGGTGACGTTTACGAATCGCTTCAATAATCTTCAACATTTCACGTACTTCAACCTGAATCCATTTAAAACTGTATCAATGCAGAGGCTTCATAAATAATGATGAATAAGTAACTACAAATAAATAATTAAATGAGAAAGATAGCCGACACCGTAGATAATAAACCATTGTCAGAATATAAATAATTAACTGATGCAATACTGAATGCATAAATTGAATGGAAGAAAACAGTGAACTTTTGCGTTAAAAAATGTCCTTAGAGTTTCTCTATTACTATACATTCTAAACTCATCGGCAAAAATGATTATGTATGCATTGATATCTATTGAAATTGATTAGTTAAAATACCTCCAACTGATCTCGTCGATTACGCCTCCAATCAATCTTACGTCCAAAATAATGTATCTTCAAGAAGAGTGATTTTAACTCTGAAGCAGCCAACTCACCGCACATCGATAGCACCGCAAGACCTTTAAAAATTTACATTTTGATGATTTCTTCATAAGAGATGTTGAAAATTTTTCCATTATCGTTATTGATATCAATGAATTGAGTGATGAATAACATTGCCAAGAAGAGCGTACAGAAAACAATAAATGAAATGATAAACTGACCAAACGTTACAAAAATGAGAATGTAGAAAAGCGTTAGAACGTGATTCAAATCATTCGGCATTTCAGCCATGGTCAGATTTGCAACCAGATTGAAGGTGACGAAGAATGCTTCGATAAATGTCTTTTGACCTCCTTAAATTAGGTTCAGTCAAATCCTAATCCATACCAGAAGCATCAAAATGAACAATTAAATGGATAATATCAGGTGAATAACTCCAGCAAGTTAGTATCGCAGTAAGATGAAGGCACATCGCAAAACATGGAATAATTTCGACTGCAATGGTAAGTGAAGTACTCGTATCTATCAACAACCATATCATTACGAGAATAAAACATCATATAAGGGAATAAAGTAATGTGACAGTCTCATCGCAGTACTTAATTATAACTTATTATAAAATATTCTGTTTATTAAATAATGCAAAGCTCTCATCTCTATGATCGAATATCACTGTTTGTTGCCAGGGTATTGTACAAGTGCTATTATAATTACATGTAAATATTATACCGATTTGTATTAGATGAATGACGTTACCTTGTATCTATCTTAAATGCAGTAATGTCTATCGACTTGAATAAAATATTCTGTTCAGTTCAAAACTGCCTGAGATATATAACTTATTCAGAACATAACTTATTGTTTAGAACATAAATAACTTATTTAGAACATATAACATAACAATAATGTCCATCCACGTCTTATAATGTCCATAATGTCCAATAATGTCTTATTTAGAACATATAAATGAAACTAACCGGCACCCAAGTAAACCAATCCACCGAGCATACAAAAGATCAACAGTATGGAGGCATTCACCGATAACGGTAAACGTTTCTTCGGTTCGGTGTTTGCCTCGGAACCCGTCGATGACGAGTTTGTATTGGCTGATTTTGAACGACGGCGATAGCTGCGACGTCGATTCCGTTTGAATGACCTTCAACAACTCAAAATCGCTTCTCACATTTAATCACATCTTTAGGCAATTCACCTTGTTTCATGTCGACTCTTTATACTGTTTAACAAGTACAGATTTACCCAAAACTGATGCAATGGATCAACATTATCCATGGATCAAATCTGAATGTTACCATCGAAAATATTTCAGCGTCAAATTTCACTGAAATCGCTAAACTTTGAAGGCAGTTACGGTGTGGGCGAATGAACAAAAGCCGATAGTTTTACGATGTGAATATGAGGTGAATACATGAATTACAACTCACTGAGAAATTTATTCAGAAATGCAAACGCACACCAAAAAAATTGCGTCGCAAACCTGCGCAATGTATGACTCTGTACTTGAATTGCTTTCGTTTCGACCAGTTCCACAATTTGACGTTTCTTCTCAGC